TTGAAGCCATTTTCCCTTGTCCTGTCATCACAGACCCTGCTAAAGAATCTGTCCCCTTCTTTCCTGCAGCTTCTCTTTAGGTACTGGATAGGCCTCTTGCCATCCACCAGTACTGAATCCTTTTTGGCAGGACTGTTCTCAGTCCTTTTATCCTCCAGCTTGTATTGCCATTGGAGGTTGTCTCAACACAGGTGCAAGGCTTGCACTTAAAAGTGTTGTGGTAACTGCAGAAGAGTACAGGAAGAGGAGAAGGCAACACTGATACATAAAGAAGACTATACTGAAGTTTGGGTCGATAGGCATGGTTATACTTTGATGTCAGAAAAGAAGACTTTGTGAGATATCGCTGAACCGCAGAAACAACAGTAGACTGTTTTCTTTGAAAAGCTGAAAGGAAAGCCTGTTTCCAAATGTCTGATATTAGTTTAGAAATCACCTGAAACCATTTAGGCATGCTTTATATTGTGGAGTGTTAAAACACATCTGTCTAGTGTTACAGGCAAGTTTAGAGATAGGTGTCCACATGTCTGTGTATGAGTAAATATTCCAAATATATGGCTACAATTTCTAAGATTCAGTCAATTTTAGTTATTGAAATTAACAGTATGTTAAAGGTTTAAATGTTAATTTTGGAAAGATATAATAACACCTTTGAGAAACCAAAGCAAATATATAAATTCTTGATAATCACAGTTCTTTTTGTTAGGGGGAAGAAATGTATCTGTGAGATTTTCATAAGACAGTTGCATAAAAATCCAGGCACACAATCTGTATTAGGATGTTTTCATACATGACTGTCTTGTCAAAATTTGGATTTAAGCTATAATTTTAAGGTTTCAAATTTAATGCCTCATTAAGAGAAATGAGGTGGAGGAAGAATTTTTTCCAATGTGGTTGTTTCAGTTCAATAATAAATTGGCATCGTCATTCACAGAGAGAACAAAAGAAATAGTTTAGAAATTTATTTCTAATGGAAGTTTAACTTTTGAAGAACACAGAGATATCTGAAAGGTAAAAAAAAAGGTTTTTATTGCCTCTGGTAATACATGTCCTTACTTTTACATCACATGTATGTGAAAAAAATAGATGTAATATTTAAAGATGCCTTTTGACAAAGAAAATATTTCCATCTCTAGAGGTGAGACTTATCTTTAAAGGATGATGAGCAGTTTCCAGATGTGTTTTTCAAGTACTGGGCTTTCCTTTCCTTAAGTCTTGACAGAGGAAAGGTTTTATCAAGGTCTTTATGATGCTCTTGTTTATTATGAGAAGACATTAGTAGAGTACATCCAAGTGCTTATCGCCTAACAGATGATTAAAGAGAGCATATGGCAGGGAAAATAAATATATATTTGTCCAAGCAATGTGGCTTGTTGACACTCCCACACTCACCATAAATTGTGTATACATGTACTCCCTATTATATGTACATGTACATATAATATTTTGCAAATCTCTTTTCTAATCAGCTAAAAATAAAAGCCAAATAATGTTTTTTTTTTTCTCTGATATTGAAGTGTCAGGCAAAGTTGATTTAGAATTTTTTAACAAAGCAATTAAGCAGTACAGAAGATTTTTATAATATTTGTTTTGCTTTAGTCTGACATTTTACAGCAGGATATGTGTTCTATTTATTTCACAAGGTCACCAGTTTTATTCTTGCAGAATGGTATTTGGTTCACTTACCTGTTTGTCCATGTACAAATATCATACAACATTGCAAGCAGTAATACAAGTTAGAGTGGTCTATGTCAAACCCTAGTCTAGATCAGGACATAAAGTTCATTGTGGATTCCCTCCGCTTCTATATGATGAACGTATCAAGGAAGTTAGAATATCTGCCAGTAAATAGTTTGCAAGCCAAAAAATAAAAAAATCTCACAACCCAATCTATCTTTCATTAAGTTATCAAAAAAAAACAAAACAAAAAACAAACAAAAAAAAAAAACCAAGTACTAATTTCAGACTGCCCTATTCATTTAGGAGACACACAGAGAAATGCTGGAGAAATATGTATAGCTCTTGACATAAAACGTTTCTGATGACTCCTTTGGTCAAGAATATAGCATTCACCCACCTTTTATATAATGGACAAAACACAGTATCACTACCTAACTGTGACATCTAAATATGACAATCTTCTTATATAGTATTACTAGAAAAAGAAAGGTAATCGTAGTTTCAAGGTGGATTTTGATTGTTCAGAAGAAAGTATTTGTAAATAAAGCAGCACAGAAGAGCTGCATTTTGTTTCGCTTTTCAGAATGTTCCTATCAAAATTTTGTTAAATATTTACATCTGCATCCAAGTATTGGACTCCACATAGCAGTTTATTCTTGCAATTTAACTTCATTAAAGTCATTATACTGATTTAGAGTATGATAGACTAGTGCTTTGGGATTGAATTATAAAGAGATTAATTTTACCTACTGGCGATAATTGACCCCATAATTCCTATCACCCCTAATCTCAATTCACGTGAACCAATGTTAAAAGTGGCAATACTCACAATGGTAGGCAAGGTCGTGACAGCTAGCATTCTTTCTTACTACCAATTAGATTTCCCACTTGGTGAGTTTGACTAATGTCATAGAAAGGGTTTCAGGCATGGAAATAGGTTTTTTTAAGACACACAAGCACTAGAGCTGATGAGCATTTTGTTGTATGTTTCCCAGTGTACAGAATTAGAATGCAATTGAATGCTGACCCATAAAGTTTGAATTCACATAGGGATTTAGAACCTATCTTGATCCATGAAAGAGCTAGAAACAAACAGTAATTTGAATCTGGAAGCAAACTTTCTTGAAACTTGATGATAGTAAAATGTGGTGTGCCTAGCATGTTTGGAACCATCTCTTTTTGATAATACTACATTTGTGGTGTACTTCAGATGAGGAACCAAAATGAAAGAGTGAGTTTTAATTGAATAGATGCTTTTCAAAATCAAATCATGTTGATAGTTAGCTGCAAATGACGTAGAGACTTCAAAAAATACAAGGAAAAGATAAATGGATTTTAAATGTGATATATCTTAAATTTTCCCCTAAGTAATAGTGCCAACTTCAAACACATTAGCATAACAGTTTTCTGAGAAAACAACAGAACAACAATACTTTTGCATAGCACTTCAGCATAAGATTATTTTTCACATTATTACTAGTTATCCATCAGCATTTTTCCAAGTATTTACAGATTTGTGTTTCTGGAGTAAGCTGAAACTGTGTGATAAAATAAGACAGATAATGATAAAAAGCATATGTATATGCAAGCCTAGCTAGAAGGAGCAAAGTACACTATTACTGCCCCTCCTGTGAAGTTAATCCTATTTCTTTTAGTCATTTCTTCATTAGTTTATGAGGTCTAGGGGAAAAAAAAATTAAAATGTGTTTGAAATGGTATTTTTGCATCTTGCCTTTAGGTACATCTACAAATATTCATAGAATAGTTTGTTCTTGGAAGGTACATTAAGTGTGAGTTTAGGCGATAATTACTTCTAATGTGAGTGGTCAGAAATTTGCATTTGAAATGGACAAACAAAACAAATAAGCATTTTCCTCATTCTTATTCACCATACTGGCCGAAAAGTTAAATAGCAAATAAAGGAAAAATTTTAATGATCAAATTTGGGGTGGGGAAGGGTGGAGAAGGTAAGACGGAAAAACTTCAAGGCTCAGATTATACATGTGCTAGCGTTAATTAGATTTGAATTTGTATGTATTATTTGAATGCAGTCTTACTCATGAGCTTCTCCTTCACTTATCTATGTCATCAGAAGTATGCAAAGGGCTTGGCTGCTATCTCTGTGAGATGAGTGCCAGAGGACGTAACTACATCCCAATTCTGTCCCCTGTCCCATACTAACCAACACCTCTGCAGACCTCTGCATAGCAATTCTGGGATCACAGTGAAAGTGACTCCTGTGCTCTGTAGCCCTGTTCTTCATGCTGATGCTGGAACGCGCTCTGAGGATGAAAATCTGGAATAGCCTCCAAAAGCCAGTTCTTAAGACACCTTATGCATTTGTACAGGAACTGCAGTTTACATTTTCAGTCTGGTGCTTTTGTTCTATTGAAAAAACAACTCATGTATTTTTTTCCATGGTAGAATTACTGAAGGCGTGAAGCTGTAACTGTTGGATTATTCTGTACCCAGAGTTTCAGCTTGTTCCATTTCATTCAACATTCTTAGACTTTCATTCTCCAGGAGTACAACTAGATCTCCTGAGCATCTCCTGGCATTGTCTTGTGAACAGGGGGAGAAACCACCAATCCCTAGAGTTTTCGATACATACATAGTGCATTAAGCAAAGGCATTATATTTCTACCAGCTCGTTAAAAGCTTACAATGGATGCATTAAAAGCTTGCAATGGATGCGTGCATAAGTTGATGACTTGTACTCTGCTGCTTTGCAAACTGTCAACCAGAAATAAGTAAATCAAGGCTATGAGCAGTGTCTCCATGTTGCAGGTAGCTAGCAATTAAATTAAAACCATTATGGAAAAGTTTCAAAACTAATGATCTTTTCGTCTCATATTCAGTTTCAAAATGTTAGGAAATTAATGTTCCTTTTCTCATTTCATTAGTTCAATTTTCTCCCCTTCTCTCCTTTCTTTTATTGGATTCCTAGGGGTTTCTCTGTTATTATTATTCTCTTCCTGTAACAACCACTACAATAAAAATCAATAGCACAGGAGTTCTGAGTTTTTATTTGATGAATGTGAAATATTTGCCTATATATATAATAAAACAAATATATATTTATTATATATATATATACATTATATATTATACATATATATTTGTTTTATATTATTTTGCCTTGAGGACATATTGACAGTCAATATTAATAAGCTTAAGACTAATACTGGAAGTTAATTATTACAGTTTCTGGCTGTGGTAAGTGTTCTATAGGATATAGTAATTATATCCTTTAAAAGAAACTGATGTCATGGTCGCATCCAGAATTCACTGGAGTTTCTTTTACTGTTTTTATTTTTCAGGTGATTCATATAACAGGCCGCTTACGTCTGAGAGTGTCACTGTCTCATGGACGGACAGTACCCAGCCAAATCATGGGACTTGTTGTCGTTGCTCATGCTTTGCCACCTCCTACAATTAATGAAGTCAGGATTGACTGCCACATGTTTGTCACTCGTGTGAATATGGACCTCAATATCATTTACTGTGAAAATAGGTACAGATTTTAGCTCCTTTTTTAATTGTTTTATTTCCAAATATTCTTTATTCTGTTGGCTTAGTAAAAAGTTTTGGAATTTGTGATTCCTGCAATGTGTTGTTTGAGAGCACTGGATTCACACTCATTGTCATCATCTCCATTACCGTTGCATTCTTAGAGTATAAACTAAATACTATGTTTTGAAGGAACTGTTCCTGAAATAGGGGAAGATAGATCAGAAGAGTTTCCTTTAAGCTTCCCTTGCTTTTTACAATCTGCCATTGTACCCCTCAGAGGCAAGATTCAGAGCTGCTCATATGACTTATATGGCTGTCCTTACACGCTCCCCTGTCTCAACAAGTCCTACTTTATTTACAGTTTCCTGGTTTTGAACAAATCTGTAGATTGCAACACATTGTGCTTAGTGTTTAATGGAACAGAAGCACAGATGGCCTAGATAGTAGGCTAGGAGAGGTGGGAAAACTGTAGATTAAAATTGTTTAAGGACATATTAGGAAAGGCAGCAGTGAAATTGAAAGAGGTGAATGAGGAGTTGGTGGGAGAGGAGGCTATGTTTAATGTAACAGGAACAAGTGATTTAGGAAAGTAGACAGAATTTAAGTTCAGCCATCTACTCCCTATGACTAGGGCATCAGGAGTGGCAGGATTTGGGGCAGGGAAGCCCTGCCAGGACATTCATGTTAATGCCTGTTGTTGCCATTGGGACCTTTAAAAATAGATATAAAATGTAGAGAACAGGTATTTAGAGCAGAATGAAAGATCTGAGAAAGAAGATATGATAAGGAAGTTTGAGTTCTGTTGATGGAAATCTCAGAGAAAAGCCACAAAACTTTGTCAAGAGAACCTGTCATTAAAAAGTAGAACAAGCAAGATTACTCGGGCAAGCTTTTCATGTAACTGCAGAAATTGCATGTTGTAAATACGAGTTCAAGATCTCTGTAATAATCAATAATGGAACACCTCTGTTCAGAATAGTACATCCACATAAATGCTCTGTTGAATCAGGGCCTTACAAAATTTACAATAATTCTGAGTTTCAATTATTAGTATATCTTTGCTGTCATGTTGCTAAACTTCCACAATAATAATATTAAAATTATTATTTGTCTATTAAAGAGATCACTTCATCTAAACTTCCAAAGTATTTTCTAAAGGAAAATGTATTATTCTCATTTTTAAGTTTGGAGAAATTGAGCAATAGTAGGTGACTTGCACAAGTTCACACAGGAAGTTGATAACAATATAAAAATTTACACTGGCTTTTTGCCTGTGATTCTACCCAATGAGTTTCTAGATTCTGTATAGTCTGGCAGCTATTGAAAGAGCTCTGGGATTTAGCACTAGGATCTAAAAGAAAACTTTAGCCTTAGTATGTGATTTGACTGTGACCTACACTGGTGGTAATGGAAAGCAGCTACCACTGCAGAGCTCATCAATGGTCTCTGTGAAATGAATTTCTGGTATCTGTCCAGTTCCTAATTAACAGATTTCCTTTTAACGAAATCACATGCACTTACTGTTACCTTTGCTGGCAACCTCAATGGGAGAAAAAAAGCCAGGAATGAAATGGATGTGGAAAATGAACTATTCCATCAGGTCAACTATAATATAAATTTTTGGATTGCGTTAGAAAGATTTACACTTCTCTGCTGGCCATTTGGCATTTTTAAGAACCCTACACTGTGTGTGTTTGTGTTTAATTAAACAGTTTTTTCAAACTTCCCATGCATTTACATGTAGAAATTAGTACTTAAAATTCCTTGAGAAAGGCATCACTGAAAAACCTAAAGTGCATCGCACATGGAATGCTGTTTGGAAGTCACAAAGAAAAAGCCAGTAACATGGTAAACTATGGTAAGCTAGCTGATTTACTTATGCAAGAAAACATTGAGCATAGTAACATTTTTCATTAGAAAAGGTAAAGACAATATCATAAAGTTGCTTTTCCCTGTCTATAATGGATTTCTTACACAGTAGGGTGGAATGCATATGATGATACTTGAATTTATGTTGCAATAGTTACATTTTTAAGACTCAGTGGCAGTGTTAAAAAATTATAAAAGGAATTTCAAATAGTAGAAACTGTTCTGCCAGGACTGAGAGGTGAATGTTAGCTCAGTGAGACAGCGGGGCTTCCACTCCTGAAAAATAGTGTTAGATTGGCAGGACTTAAATTTCATAGCAGGCACATAGTAGAATAAGACTATTAAAGCTGGAGGAATGGAAAGGGCAAAAGAAGGCAAGGAAGTAACTGAACAGCTGATATGAAGCTGTCAGATGAATTATCTGGGCATGTGCCAAGGCCATTCTCTGACTCAAGGAAGTTGGTATCTCTCTTCTGGGGCTATAGAAAAGAAGTTTAAGTATCCTTTCCTGAATATATGGGCTTGACTCCTGGCATTTGGGGGCAGCAGGGAAATTCTTTGTGGTGTAACAGTAAAGCAAGTGCAATGCTGATGAAAACGGAAAAATAGATCCTTGCTGGGGAAGCCATAAGCATTATTTATGGAGCAATGGGGAATTACTAGCAGCAGCAGGGAGTATGGAGCAGAAGCCATGCTACTTAACCAAAATAAATGCTCACAGTGGACCATTGGATCAGCAGGGGTGAGATCAACAGTACTCCTATTTTTCCAAGCAGTTGCCTGATTGCAGTAGTGGGGAGTGAAAGTGACATAAGTCTTTGGGTGCATCTTGTTAGTTTATTCTGAATGAAGATATCTGCATCAGAATCCTGGAGTCACTGCAGAAATTAATCAACAACTGTTGACATCCTTTTGAAACAAGATCAGTTAGTACACTGGCTCTTTCTAAGAATTAATATTTTATTCTGTGATTATGGAATGGAGATGTAAATTTCAATATGTCAATCCATGTGCCTGCTATCCAAATGTGAAATTCACGTCATCTAAACTTCATCACTTAGTGTAAGATAGTCTAGAATTTATTTTAGTCAGTGGAGTGAGAACGGCACCTTCAGAGGATAAGCCATCTTGGATTATGATAAAGGAACTAAAACCAAAATAGAGTCCACTGCTAGAAGACAGTGTAAAGTGTGCTTTCAGTATCAACTTACTATATATCATAAATATAAGGGGATTGGCCTGTTGGTATGACAGTAGTTGCCAATAGTTACTTAAGATGTGCAAAAAGAGTCTTGTTTACAGAGATTCAAGTGCAAGTATCTGCACATTTTTGTCCTAATTCAGCAAAGCACATATCTCTGTCTTTAAATTTCAGTTATGTTAGTAGTCCTGTAATTCAGTGGAACCACCAATCTGTTCACAGGTAAACCTGTACTTATGTTTTAGAGGATGGACATCTGCCTATTCAGCAGAACTGAGTTCCTACTGATCTACCTGTTGCTTTAGCATTTTGTTGGGCTGGGAGCTATAAGACCTAGTGCTCTAAAATATAACATTTCTTCCTTTTCTCTCTTTTAGTGATCTATTTTGCATCTTAGATACTTTTGGTATGAGTGTCCTCTTTGATGTAGTTTCTTTCCCTTCTGATTTTGGTGTCATTGCTTCTCAATGATCATCATATACATCTCTAGATTCTTTCCGTTTCTTCCATTTTTTTTTAATCTAAAGAAAAAAATCTTTTATCCTTTACATGTCTGTTTTGAAGAGCCATTTCTTAATATTTTCCTTAAATTTAAGAGACTGAATTTGCTTCTACAGTTGCCTTACTTTGTTCATTTTTAAGTGTTAAAACTTTACAGAAACACTCTGCTGCATAGACGCAAAATACACCTGAGTCAAATTTACCAGAGTGCAGAATGACAGTCCTCCATGTGAACTGTAGCAACCATAGTCTGGGTGCATCATGGGGCTGTGGCTGTGATGCTGCACAGCCTATTTCTCCCCTTCTACAACACAGCTGCTCCCATACTTCTAGCGGACCACGTCTGTGTTGTTAAATAACACAAACATGACGGTTCGAGCTGTCATATCCTTTCCCTGCAGCCTCTGGAACAATCATATGAGGAGCAGGAGTGACAGAACTCTTGGTCCTGTCAAAATCTGTCAAGAGACTGTTCTTTATTTATGTACTGGACTTCTCCCTCAACTTGAAGCATAGCCATCTCCAAACAGAAATACAATATTCTTAGGCCAAAGAGAGAACAAAAAACGCTAATGAGGAGAGTATAGAGCTGAGAAAAAGAGAGGCTTGAGTTTTTGTTCCTGTACTATTTTTGTTCTATGTATCATTTACACACTTGGTTTTGTATAAAAAATAATATACAGTCCAGAGAACAGAAAACTTTTAATGTCAGACTCCATTTGTTCTGATAAGGTATCTTATCACTGGTCAGAGTTCCTAGGTCCTTTGCTTGATGGCTGCTAATTCGCTGTGCAAACTAAGTAGTGTAACTCAGCAGGAGTAGGGAGTCCCACTACCACCATCCCAGACTTCTTTATCTGATGAACGTTGTCATCTCCCAGTAGGTAGAAGAGATGCATTTCAACTGTGAACAGTTGTGGTGAACAGTAGATGGGTATCCCTACATAGGTATCCCACATCTGGCTAAATACTATAATACTAAACAGTCCTTTGACTTCAACATGCTCTGCAAGTGGGACAAGACTGTTGTGTTTTATGCTAAACTTGATCTGACAGTCTGGCAAATCTGAGTCCATGTGTTTCTCCTGTGACAGTTTTGCAGGGGTTTAATATGGACAATGCAGCCAATCGGTGCTGCTGTTGCGCTATCTAATACTTCATTCTTCTTCCTCCTCCAGCCTTCCCTGTCTATGCACTTTCGGATAGTTTTGCCAGTCAGTGCCTAAAGGTTTGTGCTCGCCACCTCTGCCTGCTGGGAGCCCCTGGGACCTGTGTGGTCCAGTTTCTGTTTGATCTCCTCACTGGCGTGTACTCTGTATCGCAATTCTGTTGTTTCAGCTGTCTGGTTCTATCAAGACATTTGGTGTTTCTTACAACTCTCTTAAATGGATGCCTATTATGGCTTACAACTGTGAAGTGGGCTTAAACCCAACCATTATAGCATGCTTTAAACTTTAAGGATTATTCAATTTCCAGAAAACAATCTTACTTTTAATTGCTGGTATGTGCAAGGCATTTTCCAAATGTTTTGTTTTCTCTACTGCACTTAAGAGCATTGTTATTTTGGTACTCAATGACAAAAGTTTGCACAGGCTCACAGACACAAAGGTCTGAAGAATAGATTTTAAAGTCTCTATGTGCAATAAACAACAAAGTCCCAGTTGAAAGGGCCCAGAGTGAAAGCTGAGCTCCCAAATGAATTAGACTAAAAAAGATAACACCCTGAGGCATCTGTATGTCTCAGCATTTAAATTATATCCCTTGAAATATCAGTTTGGACTTAGTGCCAAGGGATGGTTGAAGATCTTTTTCATGAATATACGCAATAGAAGACCAATCTGTTTAAATGAAATGTCTCTAATCATTTGTTATAAACATACCATAGTTTTGCTTTATTGTGCAATTTTGAATCATCTTGGTCCTTTAATAAAGGTTTAGGATTGTTGCAAATGCTTTACAGCTTCATGGAATTATACAGTCTTGGTGTTACACTACAACAAGAATAGGGAACAAAATAACTTTTCACTTACTCAGTGAATTATATGACTTTGAGGTTTTTTTTTAAAACTGATTTCTCTTTGTTTTTAAGGCTTCTTCTTATTAGTGCAGGTATGTTTGGTTTGAATTTATGGAAGAGACTTCATGACATTATTACAGTGGTGAAAAAATTATTTTGCAGATTTCATTTTCTTAGCCACTTCGCAATTATTGTGTTCTTTTCCTTCTTTAATTAAAAATTTCATTTTTTTCCTTTTTAGGATTAGTGATTACATGGATTTGACCCCTGTAGATATCGTAGGAAAGAGATGTTATCACTTTATTCATGCTGAAGATGTGGAAGGCATCAGGCATAGTCACTTGGACTGTAAGTACCTCCATTTTTTGTCAAAATAATCTGCTATCAGATTGTTCCTGAACCACTGTTTATATTTCTTGACTGGAAGCCTACATCATGCAGCTGCTTTTTTTCATTACAGAACTTCATAGGGGGTAGCACAAATTTAGGTTTTTGTATCAGTTATTTTCAAGTCTTTCTATAGATACATAGCATAACTCACATATGTTGGAATAAAAAATTGTATTTGTGTTACTAGAGTTTCCAGTAGCTGTTCGTGCACATGTTCTGTGCATTATTTTACTCCCTCAAAGAGGTATTGCTTACATGAGAAACACCTTTTCTACACAGAAAACGAACTCCTCTCGTTTTTTGTTTGAGTCATAACACGGAGGTCAAAAACCAGCATATTTGGGATTTCACCAGATTGTTCAGTACAGAACTGAGCTACATCTTCACCAGTGTTTAAACCACGCAGTGCATTTACATCTAAACAGCCTCAATCATCTAAGTCCCTGTTATTTCCACACGGGTAGTATCTGATGATCAGGATGAGGGAAATGCAAGTACAGAAATGTTTCAAGAGACAAACGTTACCAGAGAGCATGTGTCTCTGTATGGGGGAAGGGAGGTTCAGCTTGATTCCTTGTAATTAAACTCTTTATATTCTTCTTATTAAAAGCCATAGGGCCTAATTCTTTTCTTGTTGAGATCTGTTGACTTCAGTGATGGTGCTCCTGATTTACCCTGGTATGAAAAGAGACTTAAACCCATAATCTCTAGTTTATCTGTGCCTGCAGATAATTCTTTGGAAGTTTCAGTGACTGACTGCGTTTATGATTGACTTGTATGTTTTTCTAATTTAAAAGGCCATCTGAAAGCTGCTTCTCTCACATTTGAATAGCTCTGCTTTTTCGAAGTCTTTATAATGTAGAATTTGGTGAATCCAGCACCATGTCCTGTTAGTACTCACTAGTGAAAGGGTAGCAACCCAAATCCAGCTACCTTTATTAAGTTCTTAGAGAACTACACAAGATGTTAGAAGGCATTATAAATCTTTGGTCCCTTTGCTTGATACGTAAGAAAGATAGTAGAATAACTTTAACTGGAAAGCAAGACAGGAAGGACCACTTCTATGATAATATCTGGCAGCCAACACTACTATCAAGTTCTGTTAGCTTTCAAATAGTCCCTCAAATTACTTGCAGGTAAGGTGCATTTAGCATAAGAAGGTCAGGTTAGATAAAATTCTGTGGAAAAAAATCAACTATTCTTAATGAAAAATAAATGGCCATTCTGCATCATTTACATTTGGATGTTTTAATATCCACAAGGATATGGCAGTTGATAAAAACGAAGGAACAACCCGAGAAACCTACTGGGTTCTCTTGAAACTGGAAGTCAAAAAATGACAAGTTGCTTTTCCACTGAATTATGTGACCAAGGAAATAAAAGATATTTATGACTGAGAGTTAGCATACCACCTGGCAGAGATGAACATCCCATTTGAAAAAGACCTTAATCTTCTGAATGACCACTTCTCTCTGAAATAGAATATGCTTTATGAAACATTCATCTTCAGAAAACTTAGAGAGTTCTTTCTCAAACAGTGCAGTGCAGTGCTGTGTGGCCTAGCGTATGAGCACTGGGCTAGCACTCAGGAGACCCCTGTGATTGCTTCACATTGCTGTAGATGTTTCTGCTCTCACTGTATGTCTGACTTCAGCAGAGTTCCAAACTTTTTCTGTAACTATAGCATAAATATTCTTTCTAGGCTCAATATTTTCAGTAGGTGAGGTCACTTAGTTAGGTCTTTTATTTACAGGTGTTCTCATGGCGTATAGGAACAGGATGTTCATAAAATCATTCAGGCTGGGAGGAACTCTGGAACACTGTCTGAATCAAAATTGATTCATAGCAAATTTTTTAGGTCTTTGGCTAGCTGGTCTTGAAAACCTTCAAGGACAAGTATGCCACAACTTATCTGAGCAGCCTATTCCAACTACCCTTAATAAGGGCTTAATTATCACCACAGTGATTTTTTTTTTTTTTTTCCATCTGGCTAGTTAGAATTTCCCTGTTTTGATTGTGCAGCTCATAGCTGCATCTTAGCAGACTGTTAGGTCTCCCAAAGCCACCTCTTCCTCAGATCAAGCACACCTGTCCCTACAGGTTGAGTGCTTCAGCTCCTAACATCTTGATAGCCCTCTGTTGAGCTCACTGAAGTTGTCACTATTTCACTTGTACTGGAGTGCCCCAATTTGATGTTATTTTCCAGCTGCAGCATAAAAAAGGTCAAGTAAAGGGAAATAATGACTTTCTGTGATCTACTGGTTATCCCCTTTTGTACAGCCCGTAAAGCACACTGCTAGTTTGTGCTTAGTCTGTTGTCCACCAGGACCACTGGGTCCTTTTCAGCAAAGCAGCTACCCAGCCAGTCACTTCACAGCCTGTAGCATTACAGGGAGTCTGTCCATCCCAGGTACAGGCATTTGTTTTTTCATGTTGTTCAGAATCATGCTCTGGATGAACAATCATGAAGTTTAAATTAGACTTGGGAATAGCTCAGTAAGTATACTTGCCCATTATAACTGCTGCAAAGGTTGAAGTGATGCCCAAAGAGATGCTTGATTTTTCTAGCATTTGGAAAAGTACTTTGTAGAAATGCCATGGGAAAGAAATCATAAAACTCCAAAATACTTTATAGCAAGTTTTCCATCACAGAAAATCAAGCTTAAACAAATCTAGAAAGATAAAATCCTTGTTTCAGTTTTTAAAAAAAATAATAAATTAAATTAGAAAAAAGAGCTAAAATTCAAGAATCTGCAACACTGGCTGTAGAAGGTAAGAGACAGCAGAACTGTAGTTTCCCTAAATAGATAAAGCAGGACGTTTGTCAGTCCTATGCAGAATGCTTGCTTGATATGGATAAAAAGCAGTGTTATACAATGTTTTAAAGAGCAGCTGGAAGCTGAAATATCAGTTAAAAGGCCCTGTGAAAAAGTAATGCAGGACTTGAGAAAGCATCAATCTGAAGATGTATTTGGTAGATGCTTACAGAGAGCATATAAAAATCTGATAGCTTTTTAAAGGACAGAAAATAGTTTTTAAAGATTAAAACAAGAATCCCAAATTGTATTGGTAAATCTAAGAGTAAGAAGAAACACAAATAAAACTGTTACTGTTGCCTGTTAATTGACAAAATATTAGGAAAAAATGGAAAAAATAAGACGAGTATATGCTCCCTTCTCATCCAGGTTATTCAAAGGCATCAAAGAGGGAAACAAACAAAGATGAAAATGCTGCACAAAATCATACAAAAAAAAAAAATAAAGCTGTTGATGGCTTCAGATCATAGCAACCTATTAGAAACTGTGAAAAACAGGCCTTGTTAACTCTATTTCAGATAAAAGAAGATAAAAGCTGTTTCAGGAATGTGACAATAACAAGTATAATGGTGAAGAAGGTCTACGGGACTATAACAGTAACAACAATCTTTTGTAAGGGAACTGCTGCCCTAATTAAAGGTCAGCTACAGTCAATGGAAAACCTTTCATTGCTTCAAAGGATATGGGGATTATGTCTTAAAAAAGCAAATTTATAGAGATCCAAGTCCTGACCCCAACAAAGTAAATAGCAAAAATTCCACAAGGTTCAGTGGAGTCTAGATTTCTACTTTGTGAGTTATGTTAGTTAAAGCTTAATGAGACCTCACCTGGAGTGCTGTGTCCAGATATGAAGTCCTTAGTACAGAAGAGACGCGGATGTGTTGGAGTGAATCCAGAGGAGAGGCATGAAAATGAGCCAGCAGATGGAACACCTTTCCTGTGCAGACAGACTGAGAGAACTGAGGACGTTCAGGAGAAGCGAAGGCTTTGGTGAGACCTCATAGTAGCCTTTATCGGGGGACTATAAGAAAGAAGGGACAGACTTTCATAGGTTTTTGTTGTGACAGGACATGGGGAAATGATTTCAGACTAAAACAAGGTGGATTTAGGTTGGATATAAGAAGAAAGTTTTTTACAGTAATGATGGTGAGGCACTGGAGCAGGTTGCCCAGAGGGGTGTTGGGTGCCTCATCTCTGGAGACATTTAAAGTCAGACTGGATAGGGCTCTGAGCAACCTGATGTAGCTGTAGGTGTCTCTGCTTATTGCGGGGGAGTTGCAGTGGATGGCCTTTAAGGATCCCTTCCAACTCAAACGATTCTATGATTTTAAGATTCTAATGCCCTTATGAATTGGTAAAATAACATTTATACTTTACCTGTACGTGTTCCTGCATCTATTCCAACACAGTAATATACAGTGACAATCCATAAATTACTGAAGCAAAAGCTTTTCTCAGATATAAATAAAAAGGGATACCATTTCTGTCTTGTTTCATACAAGCCAATTGATTGGTGTTACAATTTCACCTTATTAATGTATTTCCTATTTTGTAAGACTTCTTGGTTTCAGAAGTTAGGGAAATTTTTCATTTGTTAATCTTTGATGCATTTTTGAATGAATTGCTTGTAGAATCCTGACTGATACCACTTACAATAAATCAAGTCTCTCACTGAGAGAATAGTTACAATGTGCTGTAGTACACAGTCCAGCATCACAACACATCTGATGGCTCAGCTGACACCCCACAACTGACTTAGCTGCAATAGCTTGTGTTTGAATATGAGATCTCAAAAATTGCAAGTCTGGCCATACCCTGGCTCAGATACCATCCCTAATCCTACTCTGTATAACACAGTTAGAATGTGTGGCATGAAAAGAGTAGAAGCTGAATGGTTTACACTGCATAGTTAAACATCTAGGACTAACATACTGAGAAGACCCCTTACAACTAGGTTACTTTTAAGAATAGAAAAGATGGTAGGGTCTCTCTTGCTATTTACCTCTGCCTAGAAACATTGCAGGGCTGAACTTCATATCAAGCAAAGAAAAGCCATGAATCTCTTTGCATGGGTAGAATTGTCTTTGCTCCAATGGTAAGAAAGTGATATAACAGATGGCAGGATACATTTTATGTCAAATC